ATACATGACCTTTGTTAACAAATGCCATATCCAGGAAGGCAGGGCTTATTGGACTTTCCCGAAGGAATATATACAAGGCACCCAAAACAACATCTCTTCCCTCCTCTTTTCCCAGCTGGATCCTGAAGCCCACATGCCCGACCCTGGCAAAGGCCTAGAGTCCTCATACTGGCTGATTTGGTCTTATTTCACTGAGGTTAGCCATGCGGACTCTAGAAAGCCAGGGGAATGCTATTTCACAAAAACAAAGTTTCAAGAACTGTGGTACCCAAACTGCCGTGATACCCCTCATATAACTGAGCAGATCTCACAGAGAATGAGTCAAAGCAAGAGGCCCCACAAACAGCTCTTGGGAACCATGAGAGACGGGAAAGTGGAAGCACATTTCACTTTTCTTACAACGAAAATGATTTGGATATTTAAAACTGATGCAACTGGTAAACTCAAATATTATGTGCTTTAAGACTGCACCTCTGTTTCAGCCAGAAAAGTTACACAAGTAGCACAGAGAGCTCCCATGTACCCTGCATTCAGCCCCATAATGCTAACATCTTACACTGCTTTAAGCCATCTGTCATAACTAAGGAACCAACACTGGCTCGTTACTTTGAACTCAACTACACAATTTATTCATATTTCACTACTTTTTCCCCAGTGTCCTTTTCTATTCCAGGATGCCATCCAAGGTCACATTAGGCATGAAGCTTCCTTAAGGGTCCTCTGATCTGTTACTGTTTCTCAGAGTCCCTTCTTTGTGATGACCTTGACAGCTTCGAAGAGCAGGTATGTATTTCATATAACGTTTCCCCTAGAAGACAAAATCGATGCCTGATATTTCACCCATGCATTAAACTAAGGTTACAGGTTTGGGAGAGGATGACCAGTGTTATGATTTGTTTCTTAAATGTCTCCCAAAGAACCATATATGATGGGGAACCTTTCCGAGCTTTCAATGATAATAAACAGCCCACTGTAGCATGCATGCTCGGTGGTTGCCAGCCTAGGGCACTATGGGAGGCAGTGGAACCTTTAGGAAGCGGAACTTGTAGAAGAAAGTCAGGTCAGTTGGGGACATGATCAGAAAGGAATACCGAGAGCCCCAGCTCCTCCACTCTTTGCTTTCTATCCACAGTGAGGTGAGCACCCTTCTTCACCATGTACTCCTCTCATGATACAGTCTATTACCACAGGCCCGAAATGACAGGACCAGGTGACCACAGACTGAAACCGTGAGCCAAAATAAACATTTCCTCCTTAAGAGTTGATTTATCTCAGGTCTTTGTCAAGGTGAAAGGAAGCTAACATGATGTTAGTTTGTATAGGTAGGTGGTGTTTGTCAGCTTGTTCAAAGAGCAGCTTATTTCCCATATTCCACACTTAGCAAGCAAGTCACCAAGTACAGCCCCCCAGAAAGTGGGGAGTCATGTCCAACCCTAAATGCAGGAATATCTTACTCGGAATTCTTCCCTCTGGGAAATGTCTGGTTCATTCCCTTGCCCCTCTGACGTATCCCATCATTTTGTGTTTTGTACATTTTTTATCTAATTTTCCATATTTTTACCACAAACATGTCTCTCTTTAAAGAGGATGGGGAATAAGTGTTGTATGTTAAAGTACTATCTGCCAGGGGCTGGGGATTTAGCTCAGCAGCATAAGCACCTGCCTTGCAAGCAGGCAGTCGTGATTCGATCCCTGGTCCCGATTAAAAAAAATATATATCTGCCAGTATCTCACAACCGATCTTATTTGAGAATTGAGTCATTGGAGACGTAAAAGTGAGGTCATGCTAGAATAAGGTAGGTTGACGACCACGTCCTTCTAGAAGGACAAAGTTCAGAGATAGCACACAGGGCCAACATGAACGAAGGCAAAAACAGACAGGCTGGTGATGCTTCTACAAGCCAAGAGCACCAAAGATTGCCAGCAACCCACCAGAAGCCAAGGGATTGGCAGACCCAGATTCTCCCAGAAGAAACCAGCCCTGCAGACACACTGATCTGCGCCTTCTAGCCTCCAGAACCAAGGAGTAATAAATTCCTGTTGTTTGAGTCATTTATTTGTCATACTTTGTTACAGCAGCACAAAAAACTAACACAAGGGCTAAGCACACTGAGCAAGTTGCATTTCAGTTAAAAATAATTCACAGATGTGGTATTAGAATACAAGGCAGGGGTAGAGGAACATCCTAACGAACTCCTGAAAGGGCATGATGAAAGACAGGGGCTCAAGTCAACCCAGCTCAGAATGTAGCACTATACGTATGAACGTAGTGTGGGCTAGTAGTGTTTCAAGATGTCTTTTTTGCCGGCAGTTTATAGCCACCTGCAACTTGGTTCAGTGCTACCTGCCAAGCACACCTGGAAGTACCAGCACTGGCTGCACACCTAGTATAATCACCAGCTTCTTTACCACACTGAGCACCAGCTCCACAGAAGTCAAGCACTTCCCTCCCAGGTGCCCTTCACAGCAACCCCACAAAGGCTAACAGATGATTCCCCGCATCACAGTGGACCTGGCCAGATCATGTCAACTCAGCACTTTTTGGCCTCCTCCAGTCCTCATTTAATGACTTGCTTTGTTCCATTCCCAGAGTCAATCAACAAGTGGGCCAGTAGCTTAGCATTGAGCTGAACATCGTATCATTGTAAGCCACAGAAATACCATATAATCGCCCATATAATCACATAGCTTTAGTATAATAATTTCACACACTGGAAGATCCTGAAGCAAAAGCGAGGCTTTTGGATGAAAGCATGACAGTCTCCAGCAAAGAGAGGTGCTCTCGTAGCGCTAAGGCATGGAAAAGGCAAGATACAATCTGACCTTCCCTGTCACTCCACAGCCAGTGACCTTGATGCAGGAGATATCTATGCACCTGCCTAAATCAAGTGGTAGAAACTCCCCTCAACCAACCCCCGTTAGCTGGGAGAAAAGGAACTGCAAGTGACAGATAGGATCTGAAGGATTCGCTGGAAATTATTTTCACTATTAAAGCTCTGGTTCATCTACATTTTTATGCTATATTAAAAACTCAAAGGAAGTCATTAGGCTAAGGCCGGCTTACAGTGCCTCATGCCTGAGTATGCAATCTTCCTGCAAACCCCAGTGCTCGCCTATAATTCTTCAAATTATTAAATAATCACTCTGTGTTTCCCTTGGGGTCACATTTGGCAACAAACTAGTGGCCTAAATGAACCAATGATATGACTCAGTGAATAACACTTATGTTCTTAACTTGCTAGAAGCAAAGAGATGTGAAATACTTCCAAGGGACACACAGGAGAGGCAACTATATTCCATGAGGTTTAGAGAATCAGGGGACAAGAGTGACAATGGAACATAAGGATCTGGGAAATAGTTCAATAATCAGTGTCATGTCCCCTACCAATTCCATATATCAGCAATTCTCTACTCCAATCCTAGTTCTTTACCATTTGGGGAGTGCTACAGCCACAAGGAGAAAACTAAGCATATGGCTCTGTCCTTCTGGACATTTCTACAATGTCGGCTGGGCTGCTTTGGAAAAATCCCATTTTATCTCCTACAGCTATATGACCTCAAGTTGTCATTTCAAATAAAGTACGCTTTCAGTGATTTTTATGAACACAGACAAAAGCTGTTACAACCTTTTTTTTTTCCAAACCTTGCAAACCAACTGTAGTTGCTATGTAAGGCTATTTGTTTCTAAGGCAACAGCGTATATCTTAGTACTAATGGCCTGTCCTTTTGCCAGGCAACAAACAGCCTTGTGATGCAACTGCACCTGTCTCGGCTACGCGTTACTATGGAGATGCTCTGGTTGCTATGGCTACCATCACGCTAATCGCCTAGCAAAGGCAGGCATACAGCAGTCTACTCAGAGAGCCCAGCTGTTCCTCCCCGTCTCTAGCTGAAGACTGATTGTCTAGGGTCTGTGATGGAATGCTTCTCAACTGAGAAGCACAAGAACTTCATTAATGCCATTTCAGAGAATTGCTCTGTGCACTTTCCTGCAGCACAAACAACAGACTTGGGAAAAAATCTGCAAGAGGTGGACTAGAGAACCCCGGAGATCTCTGACACCATGCCATTCCCAATTAATATGAACTTGTGGCCCGAGGATAATGTGTCTTCACTATGTAGTTGCAACAGAAACATTTTTTAGCATCTTTAAAAAATTGTTTTGTGTCAGGAGTGTATCCAAATGCAAGCACCGTATATACATAAAACCCACTGTTAAATTTGCTTCTGTGTTCTATAGCTCTTTCTTGTAATCCAACATTAATATGCTTTTTTTAAAAAGCGACAAGCTGCTTAACCCTCCAATTATATATTTGTAAAAAGAGTACTCATGACCTCACAGCCTCACAACAAATGGGCAAGTGAGGAGGGAAGGTCTCCGTTAGTCTCTGCTACTCTTGAAGAAGCAAATACCAAGTAACCACAACAAAACCATCGCTCAGGAGCTCTGTCTACATGGAGACGGGAGTGACAACTGAAGAAACCTTCTTCTCAACATCTGTGGAGACTGGCCAGGGGATAGGAAGATGGGATTGCTTGTTTGATCCATTCCAGTACGTTCATGCCAGAAAAAATGTAACATGGAGAGACAGGAGAGCTGTCAACTCGTCTTTTTAAATGTTTCTACCCAGGAAGACATTATTTTACCTATGATGGAGCCTTCTGGAAACACACTCCGAAGCAGCAGAAGCGGTAAGATTTGCAGGAAATACAACAATGGATATGCCTCCTAATACCACTTAATTTCTTTCTCATTTAGCTGCAGTTATTTTTAAAATCTCACACAGCTTTTAAAATTGGTTTTAGTGCCTGTATCTGCTAAAATCATGCAGATAAATAATAACTTTGGTATACCCCCCCCCCCAAAGTCAGAAAAGTCTGAATTTCTTACCTTTGATATGCCTGAGGAGTGGGAGGTGGGTGGTAAGGTGTCTTTTTCAAAGCCTGAATTAGATTTTGTCTATACTCTGGGTCTATGCACCACAATGACCCTTTCCCAATACTCTGCAAAGGAAATTAAAATATGAAAGCATTAATATAGATGTAGATGTTTTTAAAAGTTTCTCATTTATTTGTTGACTTAAATGTAGTGCTGATAATTGAACACCATAAAATACACTTTGATCTTCCTTGTATTAAGTTTGACAGATCATGTTCTTTTAGATTATGTTGATACAATAATATAATCTTCCCATCAAATGTATCCAAAAACATGAGAATCCTTTATCTTTCAGTGTCCACTTTGAAGAGTACATGTTTTCTCTTCTAAAAAGCTTTAGTTTTGTCACATTTCAAATATTAAGGAAAAAAGTGGGCTAACATACCCACCAAACTCCATCTCTGCTCTAAAAATTAGAGTTATGTTTTTAAACAACCTTATGTTGGTACCATTTTACAAAAATGGAAAATAACCCACTTGTTTTATTCCAGCGGCTCACAAAAGAACAACATTTATGCTTGGAAAGGAATTCTGTAATTATCTTCCCCAAGGAACAAAAGAGCTCCAGCAACAATGGGAAACTTAAGCCAGGATCCAATATTTGTTTGATTCCTTAGTTCACAGCAACATGCTCCAGCCTATAAGAATTTAATCTTTAGTAGTCAAACTTTAAAATGCAAATTTTCCAGAACTGTTCCATGGAGGGACGCTTCCTGGGAGACTCACTTGCAGGCTGGTTGGAGGCATCTAGTTTGATCAGCATATTCAAAAAATCCTAGCTGCCTCTGAGGTCCCCACTGGAACTATTTGGCAACAGGCTGAGGGCGGTCACTCTCAAACTGTGTGCTTTCAAGAGACCGAATGGACCCAAACTGTTTGATAAAGTCATTTGTAAATATTTACTGATTTGTAAAGAAAAGAGGTTAAACCACCCAAACCCACCCCTACCCCCATGCTTTCAGTCACAGAGTCCCTTATTTTCACAACTACTGTATAACAGGAAGACTGATGTCTTCCAACGTTTAGACGGCAAATAAGACAACCATTCCACTAACATGGGCTGCAGGATGGGAGGGGTGTCCAAGCCGATCCCATGAAAGGAACACTAAACGTAGGTGATTCCTAAAATAGTTAAAGTATGTTTAAAATGTTTGTATTTCAGCCATCAGTCAAGTCCTTTTCTTGCCAATGTTATTCACTCACAGTGCCCATTAAAATGTTATCAATAGCTCCAACGCACAGCAGCACAGGTGGAATTCACGGTCTGGGGTACAATGGGAATAGAGGAATTGTACAAAGTCTCAGTTGGAGACTGGCACGAGGGACCATGCCAGTCACCCAGCCCCAGGCACAGGCCTGACACCACTGTGGATCTGTCTATGCCGACACTGCGGCTCCCAGTTTAATCTTCTGAATGTTTAAAGACCTGAAAGATGCCAGCTTTAGAAAATGTTATGTTCCTATATGCCTTTAAACATATATTTTCAAGTCTGGAATGGTTCACAGGATCCAATGAGACCTCCCAAGTAAAAGAGGCAATCATTGCCCTGGTTCTTCCTTCTTTTCTTGTGGAAAAATCTCTGCAGCACGCTTTGGAAAGAAAGTCAAAAAGGTAAGGAGTGAAAAAATAGGGGAGGATAGGGAAGACCAACAATTACCAAGTTTGGCTAAGGTAAACAACACAAGCCACCAAAGCCTGTCAGCGGCCTCCATCATTGGAGGGGTGGGGGAGCCTGCGTCCAACTTGAAGGGCTCCCACAGAGCCCTGAGCCAGGGGCCAGGCCTCTCCTTCCCACGCACACAGGCCTGGTCTAAGCCACATGGAGGCCATGGCTGATAGGCCAGCCTTCCTACAGTGAACTCACCTCAGCTCTCAGAAACTGAAGGCTTTTGTTTTCAACAAGGTACCTCAAAGAGTGTCAAATTTACCTTACACCAATAAGACCTCAGACAAAGCAATTAAAAGCAGCTGGGTCTCACAGGTAACTACCTAGAAGAATGTGGTTTCTCCTAATCCTGACCTAAGTATCTCATGTACTACACTGTTGTACTACTCAGAAATGATATAGAATAAGCCCGCAGATTTGTGTAGAGCAATTGTGAGGTAACCAAAGAAGAATGGGTGGTTTGGAGCTACCCAGCCATGTCTCGGCTACCACTCATGGTACCGCAGAAGTCTTGGCTCCCTCACTGGTAAGAGTCAACTATGAGGCCCAGAGATGTGACATAATATACCTAGCAAAATGGTCTTAGCTACAGGAACTCAGTGAAAGGCAGGTGGTGTCATAAAGATCTCTTTGACAAAAACAAACAAACAAAACGTGATTGGACAATGTCTCATTAACTCCAACCTGAGGCATTTTCCTCCAAGGATGCCAATGGCAAGGTCTTCCAGCAAACAAGGATAAAATGGTGGTCTGCTCTCACATGCTGTTGGTCTTTGTTTAGCAGTATGAGCTTTCTAACATTCTTTATTTTTATCACTCCCCTAACATCCTACACATCAGGCATGGGCTACTGTAACATCTCCCTTGCTCGGGAAGGTAATATCACTCACTCATAACAACTTGGCTTCTAGAAGTTTCCTCTTGCCCAGATCTTCATAGTGTAGTCATTGAGCCGAGGTTTAATTCCAGATTTGGTCAGTATGTGTGGCCACATGTATTCTCAAACTTTGGATCATAAAAAAAAGTTCCTACCTTGACCCTTTCTGCCTTTTATGGTGAGAAGTTTGCTTTTTTCTTTCTTTAATAAGCCAGACTCACATCTCAAGATCTCTCATACTTAGAATTGCTAGCATTCCAAAAAGAGAAAACAAACAAAATGCTTCTTGGGGACACACCCATGAGGATCCTGTTAAGGCCTCTGATCATCTTCCAGGGCCAAGAGTCAGGTTGAGCTTGGGGCACCCCAGAGGCTGGCAGTCTACCTCATTTTCAAGCTTTCTCCTTGGCTTCAAGTGACAGCTCCAACTTATTCAAAGATTTACTTGAAAACTCTAAAATGGAAATGTATAGAGGACAGAACGCTTAAGTCTCTGAGACCAGGAAAAGAGATACTGAATGCCCCTCACAGAGAAGAGAAGCATGTAATTTGATTAGAGTTGAGTAATAAGGTTGAGAGGCAGAGCTTTTACAGAAATATCTGCATCTCATCTAAGACAAGAATATGCAGCCCTTTTAAAAAATGGAAATAACAGAAGGCCATGTACCACTAAGTGTTAAGGAATTCAAAATAATAAAGGAAAAAAAACTTCATACATACATTTTTTCTTATGTGTGTATGTGTGTATTTTATACCCCAGAGAAAAACAGGATGGAGGAAAAAAAAATGAGTAATAGGACAAGGATGAGGCCAAGTTTTTATGTCTCTTTAATTAAAAGGTCTCTAAAGAATAACGGACAGCTCTGTTAATATTTCTTTTAAAAATCAATACACAAGAGTAAAAACAAAACAAGAAGAACCTGTACTATAGACAGAAGTGATAAATGGAAGATGTTTTTTGAACAAATAACAACTAAATTAGATCTAAGGTCTAAATGTGACATTTTCCCCCCTTGGGCTCGGGAGAGGTCTCAACCCAGGGACCATCTCTCCAGGCTCATTCATCAGTGCCACATCTCCCAGAACTTCAGACCTGTCCTGTAGCATGTATCAGTCCGTTTGACGTTGACCTTCAAGTCTGGGTCCTTTGCTAGACTGAGAATTCCTAAGGAAAAGTTCCATACTTTGAACATTGTTTGTCAAGGTGTGAGCTATCGTGAATTAATGTGACCATCAAAATTAGTACTGTTTTAATGGAACAGAATAGAATCCAAAAAATAGAACAGAAACCTGTCTAGCGATGTACTGTGAAATCGGTATGTATGCATATACATGTAATTCTGATCACAAGGTATCAAGCACTTCTGGGAAGCTGGGTTAATACTGGGTAGGAATGGTTCCCAGGGTTATTTCCTTACAGCATTTCGGGAAATAAATCTCTCTGGTTGCAGTCACGGAGCAGTCACGTATTCCACGTGATGCTCAGAAGCTGTGCTTGGAAAACTGAGAGGTGGGACCCATATCCAAATGGAACAGGGAGCTGGGTAAGTATTAAGGATTGAAACGATACTTTTCCATGTTTCTCCTCTGGCTTTTCTGAGATGTCTCCAGCACTCCCCACCCTCAGTCACTGACTCGTCTGTCCATTCATTCGTTCATTCATTCACGTGGCACTATTACCTGCCAGGTACCGTGGAGGACAGGAGGACAGGGTAAGGAATAAAAACAACACAAAATGGTGACTGCCCTCATGAAGTGTGGACTCCACGGGGAAAGACCACAGCCAGTAGATAAGGAAATAAATAACAAAATCATGACAGCCGGTACTACCTGCAGGGAAGGAAATAGAAAATGATGAGTTCAAAGAGAGGAAGCTGCTGCTGGGTGGACAATGAATGGGTTGGAAGTGGCAAGAGGTCCTGCAGAGATGTGTTTGGATCTGCTACAGCCGAGAGGCCCGAGATGACCGCGGGGCGCTGGCTCGGGTGAGGGCAGTGGAGGTAGGGAAGGACAAGTTCAAATTGTAGCATACAGAACCTGGTGGGCCTGGCAACGGATTAGAAATAGTGAAGAAAGAAAAAAAAACTAAAGGTTTGGTCTGACTAACTCACTGGATCGAAAACTAGGAGAGGGAGAAAATCTATCATGCTATTGAACATACCCCCTTTGAGACTGCCTGTCTATTAAGATCTACTGATTAAGGCATTGGAAAGAACTTACTGGACACAGCCACCTGTCGTGCCTCTGCTGTATCCTCCCGACCCCCGCCTTTACAAAAGCGACAGCTCAGAAGCATGAAAGGAAGAGCAGAGGTGGTCTGGCTTTCGAGGTTTAATAGCAACTGGTTCCTCTATAGCAAGGGCTGGTCAAATTATCTTTAAAGGGCCAGAGGGAATATTTTCATCTTCGTAGGTCACCTGGTCTCTGTTGTGACAACTCAACTCTGCCATTACAACACAAAAGTAATCAGAGATGTAAACACATAATGTGGCTGCCTGGCAATAAGACTATTTACAAAAACAAAGTCCACAGTTCACTGCCCTCTGGCCCACAGTTCAATGCACTCAGGGCTCAGACTTGAAGCTCTGTGGTTCTGAGAACTAAGGAACCAGGTACAGGATCTTTGGAGGCTGAGATAAGAGATTTGGGCTGGGTCCTGTGCAACTGCAAAGGAAAGGACATCAGTAAAAGTCTAAGCCAAGGGCTGCAAGGCAAGAGAGATACTTTGAGAGACAGGGACTGGGATAAGTCAAGCCCCTTAGCAGTAAGAACACTGCATTGGCCTGTGCTCACCATCACTGCCCAGCGCAAGCAAGGTATATGTGTGGTCTGCTTTCCTTCCCTGGGTCTATTTCCTACTCCATCAACTATGTGGTCAGAACAGATCATCCCAAAGGCCCGTCATTCCATGCTCTGAGAATACACTGCACACCACCCTTCATCAACACTATTATTTGGGGGCTAGGACCTCACATCTGCAGGGTCAGCGAGAAGCACGTTACTATACCTTCAACTTCCCAACCGTGGGACCTCAAGCAAGGTACTTAACTGCTCTGAGCTCCGGTTTTCTCATCTATAAAATGCGGAATAATAATAATACTTGCTCCACAGGACTTTTGTAAGGATTAAATGAGATTGATACTATACTGGGGCAGATACTAATTAACTCTCACTGTTAGAAAGGTAATTAAAATATTAAATAGCCAGCTCCAAACCACACAGTCCCTGCCTTGATGAATCAGGTACTTGGCAAATGAAGAGACGATGCAAATTTCATCTAAAAAAAAGAAACAAAACCATACACCTCTGCTTGTTTTCCATTGTCTGACACTGCTTTCCTTGGTCCAAAGGAAGTATTCTGTATCAGATGCATGAAGGCGGGAGTGGAGTGGAAATGGAAGGATCAAAATAGAACAAAGCAGAGAACTGAAGTCAAGAGGGATGTGGGGCCTTGAGCAAGCCACCGGCTCTGAGTCACATCTTTTTCCTGTGTCACAGAACCCCGAGTGCCTCCTTCCCTGAGCCAAAAGGTTCTGTCCTTCAGGCTGCTCTGGGCAGGGAGAGGCAAGACCTGATTTAGAGGAGAAAGCTGGGAGGGCAGATGGGAGGAGGAACCAGCCTCAGAGGAGGGAAGAGTCTCCTAGCTGGGATGGCTGTGCCTCAATGCCCTTGTGCCCCCAGGCATTCTGATAAGATCCACTCATTTGCCACCAAATGACACTTGGAGAGGGGACCCAGAGCCAGCATTCTCATCACAGTGCCCTTCTGTGCAGCAGACACAAATCTGAGAGTCAGGGAGCAGCTCTGGGTTACTTTCACTGTGGATCCTGAGCTCACTCCTGGGGCTCCCTGGTGCAGCCTTCTCCACCCCACCAGGGGTCTCTCCTCCTCTCCCCTTTGCTGGCTCTTCCTCTTCTCTAACACAGCTCCTGCTGAGCTCCTCAAAGCCAAACTGTAAGAGGGAAGAAAGGAAGACACAGGGCTGAGGAAGGGAAAAGGAGGAGGGCAGGGAGCAGCAGGGGTGACACCCTCACAGCTGCAGACTCTCCTGCAAACTCATGCTCAGGACCCAGCACCACCAGACCACAATCCACGTATCAGCGGACCAACAGACCCACTCAAATAGTCGTGGCCCTAAGGAAAGCATGCCTCCTGCACCTCCTCCTGCAGCAGGTCACTTACCATCCGTGGAGAGCAGATAGGATGCAGAGGTTCTATAGGAAAACAGACAGTAAGTGCTCTGAAGGAGACATACTGGCTCAAGGGCTGTGGGACAACAGAGGAGAGAAAGGATGAGGTCTGCAAGGGAAGAAGCTGTTAACTCACACACAGGTGGTACACACACACACACACACACACACACACACACACACACACACTTTTAGACCAGCCTCCAGGGGACCTGCTGGTTCCTATGTTCCTATTCAAGGCAGTCCCCCCTACCCATTTCCACCTGGGCCACCTCCCCAGGACCCACTGGTCTCTGGGAGACTGGGTTCTCCTCTCCTGTCCACCAGCCACCTTCGTGGAGTCTCCATACTTTCTATCTTCCAAGATGGGGAGAGCTAAACATCATAGATCAACTCCTGCCCCCTGAGAGGGACCAAGAGCACTTTGCTGGAGAATATTGGAGAAAATATTCCTGTGTGTGGCTCCCAACAGGGGGTTCAACCTGTGCAATTCTTGTCTATTCTGCTAAACTGCTATTGTAGTGGGGGGAACTCTCTTGGATTTCAGTGTCTAAACCTGGTTTGGTTAGGCTAGGTTAGGTTAGGTTAGGTTAGGTTTGGTTTGGTTTGAGCAGGATTTCACTATGCAGGCTGGTCTAGAACTTAACTTTGTAGACCAGGATGGCCTTGAACTCACAGTGATTGTAGAGTCTCAGTCTCTGGAATCATAGGCATGTGCCACCACATCTGGCTTCAACACCTGTTTCTTACAGAGAATGCTCTCTTCCCCAACAGTCACCTTGGGCTTTTTGGGAAGACAGACTATGTCCAATGAACCTAATTCCATACCCAGCATGTAAGGGGCCCCTAATGCATTTAATGATGTGTCCTCTTTGCCAGAGAGGCACAGCAGTTAGGTGATACGGCGGAAGGGCACAGAAAAAGATTATTCTAACAAATGACTACCATGTCTCAGCATTGGCTTCCAAATGCATGAGGGAGAATCACAACAAAATGTTCACAAGTTGCAGGTTCCTAAAGGCACTTAGTTTCTATCTAAAATTCTGTCTAACCTTAACCCTAACCCCACCCCTGATAATCCCAGCCAGTTCTGGAGGAAGACATACTTAGTTAAACGCTCTGAAGGGGAGACAGTCTGGCTTACAAGGGCTGTGGGTCAGCAGAGGCACACTGCAGCATTTCAGAGGAAGTACTCTGCAACCCTGACCCTAACATTCTGTATTTTATACTGTAAAATATAAATTTTTACAGGGATAATTTACAGGGAAAATTTTTAAATTTTGAAAGTATTAAAATGATCAAGGATCTAGCTCAGTACAAGAAAGAGGAAATCAAAAGAAAAGTAAAACAGATTTTTGCCAGCTACTTCACAGTTCATTCCTGTAATAGGCCATTATTCCAGAAATGAAAGTTTAAAAAAAAAATTCTCTAGCCAGTTTCCAGTGCTTTCAATACCTAAACTTGCTGTCTGCATGTCTGTTTCTCCAAAAGCAGAAGGAAAGATGGAACAGAGAGATTGTAATCTCTAGCTGGAGGCCCCAGGCCAGTGAGCCTCTGGGGCCTCCTGCTCTGTATCAGGGCTGGATACCTAATCCCTGATAATCCCAACCAGGGAACATTCCAAACTCCTTCCCAGTGGGTCCTCTAGATATCAGATACTAGTATGGCCCCACTCCCATTGCAATCTGGCTGTTAATTTACAGTCATACTCTAAAAGCTATAAATCTGGAAATCCCAACGACCAGGTCATTCGTGTAATATTCAGATACAGAGCTCTGTGACAAGGTACATGCCTCCATGTTCTGTCAGGGCTCAGACACCTCCAAAGACACTCTGCTGTGGGCATGTGCATAAGGCATAAGGCACTGTTTTCAGCACAAAGAATAAGGACTGGAAATGGTTCATTTATAGTAGAGTAGTTGAGCACTGTGTGTGTGTGTGTGTGTGTGTGTGTGTTTTAATCTATGCAGGAAGACTCAATAATCTTCTTGCATTAACACCTAAATAAAACCAAAATAATCCTGAGATTTGGCTAAAACCAAATTAATCCCTAGGAGAAATCTGTTGTGGGGGAGTCATGTAAGGGTGGGAATCATCACAAGGACCAGCACCAGCTGATCAGAACCATCCTGAGGGCTGGTCTGGCAGGGGCCTCTGCCCCTTTACTCTAGAATCCAGCTGTTTCTTCCTCCTGCTCCACCAGCCATCAAGGACACTTCTGCAGGGTCAAGCACAGCAAGCTCATCTCACCAAGGCTGGCAGATGAGTGTTTGTTTGGGTTGGAAAGAGTTACTTTTGAACTCTCTAAGACTGTTCTTTCTTCACTGCCAAGAATAGTTCAGAGCTGGAGCACTAACAACAATCAATAATAAAATGATCCCCGAAACAGCCAAAACATATTTACTCATAAATACTGTCAAATGCTACACTGGTGAGTTCTAATAAAGAAAAAGGAACACACGCGCACACACACACACACACACACACACACACACACACACACGCTCCAACTCAGAAGTCCAAAGGACTGTCTTCTTTAAAATGATTGTTTTTATCCAACTAAATCATAGGATTCTCCCAAAGTAGTTTCACTGTTCTTTCCCAGGGAAACCTTTAGCCAAAAAAAAGTAGGGGTGGGGGTGGGGTTTCAGTATTTTACAACCAGAAACACAAGAGTATGATTAGGCAGACAAAAAAAACGAGCATAGGCACGAAAGTTTTAAATCTTTTTTCCTTGTTTTCAGTGTCTTAACCTATTGTTTCTTTTTCTTATTTACTTCATTGACAGAACTTCCAGAAAAATGTTGCATCTCTATCTTATTTCTGAATTTTTGATGTTACACCTTTTGGTATCTTTCTCACTGAAAATTTTGTTAAAGGCGGTATCTATTTATAGCTTGCAAAGCTCTGCATTTTAGGAAAAAAGGATAACAATTTAAATGTTCACAAAGCACAAAACACACGGGAAGTATAATAAGCTTGTCATTTTACACACTGCTAATACCAGCCTGGCTACGTCAACTTCAAAGAACCAAGCAACAACCCGAATGAGTTCAAGATCTTCTGTGGTAGCAAACCTTCTACTCAGATACACACATTCAGGCTCTACAGATGGATAAATAAATTCACCGCGGCCAAACACCTACTAAGAACTTCATTACAGGGGGCTGGGGATTTAGCTCAGCGGCATAAGCACCTGCCTTGCAAGCAGGCGGTCGTGAGTTTGATCCCTGGTACCGATAAAAATGAAAATGAAAAAGACGAAAAAAAAAGAACTTCATTACAAAAGCTAGGACACCACCTTTAAAAGGTTTTGTCACCTGATGTGCAACAGAAACATACAATGGTGTAATGAACTTGTCTGGAATGTGGCTATATTCCTCATTCTTTAACAGTTCCTTGTAGGCACTCACAATCTTAAAACTGCACGAGCATATTACAAAGAGAGCAAATGGTAGAATCAAAAAATGCATCCTAGCCTGCACATTTTATGCCTTTTAAAAAAAAATTTAAAAGGCAAGTTGACTTGAATCTAGTACATATGACGGGAAGAAAAATTCAACATTAGTTACACTCATCTAAATGAAAACTGTTAATTTAAAAGTCAAGAGCCAACAGAAAACTTTATAAATCTATGAAGTAGCGCGGGAGGAGCTGCTGGCCAGCGCTGGCTCCAGCCTGAATCTGCACTCTTTCCTGTGGCTCCACCTTCGTTCAGGTCAGATAATCACGGGGCAATGATGTTTTATGGAGGCTAATGAAGACACACCGGGTCTGGCGGACACAAACACCCTTGCTTAGGTTACAAATGGTCACCTAGTGCCACTTTATCTGCTGGTTGTCCAGTTACTCGTCTATTTTTAAATGTTCCAATACGATCTTATCTAATTGGCACATATAATTTGATCGCCTTATTTCCATAACTAAATGTTGCTAAAGTACCTGGCCAGGTAAAAGTTACAGTTACAGGATATGTACACAGGCAGGGCAGTGCTACAGTTAGTCTTTAGTTTAAAAAAAACCAAAATCATTTGGGCTTTCTCAGTATAGCAAGGAAATTGAGGGTGCTGTGCTGTGTTTGTTTTGTTCTGTTTTGTTTTGCATCAGAGATTGAAACCAGGGTCTTATGCATGATTGGCAAGCACTGTACCCCTAAACGACGACCCCAGCTTGGATTGAGTTTCCTGCTTTTTAAGGAACAGCCACTGGTTATAGAAAACCTGGGATCTACCTTCTGTGTAGAGGGCGCTTCTCAAGGTCTTAAGTTTTGGATCCTGCTCTTAACTACAGCACTGGGAAATTTCCTGATCCAATTTTTGCGAAGAAATTGCTTTTCTACTGCCTTTAAATTCTAACGCAAGTGTTCCAACAGTAAAGGACACCCTTCAACAAACGATGTTTATGCACTGATGTACCCCACCACACTATGACACTGTGCTACAGAGACAGGGCTACAAACATGCAGCCCCAACTAGAGGAAGCTGAATCTAGGGCCTTCACGCTGAGCTATATTCCCAGCTCTTTTTATTGTTTTTTTGTTTTTGTTTTTTCAGACAGTGTCTCACTAAGTTGCTAATTTGCCATGGGTAGGCTGGAATGTGGGATACTCCTGCCTCAGCTTCCCAGAGTGCTTGGATAACAAGTGTGCACCACCCCACCTGCCTGTTTAAGTAACTCCTTACATTCTCGTAAGTGCTGGTTAAGACATGGGCAAAGCGCAATCAGGCCAGACAGCTGCACCCAAGCATGCTGGAGAAGGGGTAAGGAAGTATAAGGAAGAAGGACAGGGGCTTCCCCAAGGCAAACTGTAATCCAGGGCTCCTAGGAAACACAGGATTTATGTAGGGCCAGGTCCGCAGGGAGTGGGGAGAAAGAGAAAAGGTTACAGGCAGAGAACAAATAAATCCTGTTAGTCATAGGTAAGGGGGCTGAGGGCAAAAATGAAGGAAGCAGAGTTTATCCAAAAACACAGTCTGACCAGGACACACCTAGCACATGAACAAGGTGGCAAAGGCCTGACCTTCTCGAGCCAGAAGCTGCCCATAGGCGCACAGCCCGGAGCTGCTGCTTCCCAAACTGGGGCCCAGGCTTAATCTCCCGGAGGCCTATTTCAGAGTATTTAAGAGCCAAATGGCCTCAATCCTCAGCCCCATCATCACAACTTGTTCCCATGAGGTCACAGAGGGCAGTGCCCACCCCAGCACTTGCCTAGCTGAGCATTAGGACTGGGAGTGAGAACTGAGAGGGACACTAGGGGATTTACCAAGCTCCAGGCTCACCTGATTCTGGACCCTTCTCAGCAACACAAGGCACAGAATCCATAGGACAGAGCGCCACAGCCTCGGCTCAGGTTCATCCTGCTGACGACCTCACAGACTGGCACGATGGCCAACGGGAGGTTGTCAGCGAGAAACCCCACCAAGGCTAACAGCTGGCGACTCTGGCTCTGCATACACTCAGCAGATTTTCCCCACCATCATTCCATCCCTCCTGAGCACTCAATGAGCACAAAGACCTGAGTTCAGTCCCCAATGCTACAAGGAATGGAGGTGGAGGTGGAGGTGGGCGACACTCTCTCAGGACATTGCTGAGTAACCTCACCTAAACAGTTCAGCTTACTTCAGGGTCTGCGCAGAAATTTTTTTAGAAATAGCAATAAAAGTAGTATCAAGCGCCAGCAGCAATGCTGTTAACACTGAAAAGCGACCATGTGCCAAGCACCCCAAGAAGCATGTGACAGGCATTATTTCACTTGATTTTCCCAGCAAACAAGAAGTAGAGGGAGTACTATGACCTTACAGATAAGAAAATCATGGCCCAGACAGGTTCTCTAGCTTATCTAAGGTTAATGCAAGCAATGTGACATGAAAACTTGTACCCTCAACATTAAAAGGCGTCCACAAGGACACCACTGTTAAACGTGCAGCAAGCTGCAATGAAACTGTATCACGTACCTCCAAGTCAAATCGTAAAGACATTTTGGATAACCCGTCACACTGGATGAAGTAATGTACACCTTAAATGAGACTCCACACAAATGGGTCCTGGTCTGTGTATACATCTGCATTTTCTTTAATCATTTCAGATACAAACTGAAGTCAAAGTTTTGTTATTATTGTGATGATAACAACTCTCCAATTGTGTCTCTGTGACCATTCAGATACAGGATCATCTTCCTGTTTGTATAGCAAATTTCTAAGGAAGATTAAGTATCTCGGGGAGTCCTCCACAAGTTGATAAAGGAATCTGAGATGATCAGGGCCATTTATAGCCACAAAAACACTGAAAGGGTAAGGGCTCGCTCTAGTGATCACAATCACCAAGAGCCAGGATTCAAACCTGGGTCTCCTGAATTGCCAACATGGGAAAAGCCAGACTGCCAGAAATATCTCCCAACACGTGCATAGCGGGAGAAGCGCATGACCTACATCTTTCCAGGGCCGGGTGCTGATGTTCCCATACCTGAATCCAGGACTAGGCTAAGATAAACCAAATCCCAAATGGTGGACAGCTGTACACATCTGTGCCATTACTAACATTCTCCTCCCCTGCAGATGGGGCCCACAGTTTCAGAACTCACCTGCCAGGAAGAAACTTCTTAAATTGTTTGTGTGTTATTGTCAAGAAATTCTTAAAGGGGATAAGCAGGAAAAGAACTTAGATGTGTTCTAAAATAAGTGAGAGCACACTCGAGCCCAGTGTTCTTTTGGAATTATCTGTACTGCATTGATTGGACAAAAATGACAGCCCTAAATCACATTCAACCCTTGAGACGGTCTCCGTGGCCTGTGGGGCCCCACACACCACAGAGATGCCAGGATTGACACTTTTGATAAGTCCAGTCCTTACAGGTACAAAATCAGTACTTATAAGAGTCTATGTAAGGCACTGTTATCAACCTTACATGAGACAGCAAAAAGGAATGGGTGCAATGTGATCAAAATATACAGTGAATGCTTAAAATTTTTTAAAAAATTATCACCTTGTAACAGTAACAGACACCTTGTTACTGATCCCTTTCAGATCAAACACACGTATCCCGTCATTCTTGTCATTTTTGAGTCTTTAAGAGGTATGGTCAGAAATGTGGTCACGGCTGCTGCCAAGTGTCACTCAACAGAAATGTAGGCACAAAACATGATGCTGTATCTTCATCTGCCTTTTCTTTCCACCAGATCTGACATCCTGTGACTTCTGGTTCTTCCCCAAAGTCAAACTCACCGTGAAAGGTAAAAATTTTAATCGATTCAGGAAACAAAGGCAGCCATAGCAGTGTAACCAAAGACACTCACGAAACAGGGGAGGAGGAACGGAGAGGTTTTACACCTCTGGATTCCTCTTTCTGGGATGCTAGCTGCATTTGCTACCGAAAGCTGTGGTCCTTATGGAGCACCTAAAAGCTGAGCCACCTTCCCTCCAGATTCTAGAACCTGCTCCTTTAATCACACCCAGGCAGATAAAAGTTCCCTGACGCTGTCGGCGACATCTTCTCCCAGGGCAAGAGTGCCATCACCTGCGCCCGCTGCTGTGAACCAGTTTCTCAGCAAACTCTCCCCAGTCACTTCACGTTGATGTGCCATCTGTCTCTTGCTAGAACCTGACTGACGAATTTAAAAACAGAATTGATTACCCTAGAATGTTACTTAGAATCTACATTAGCAATACGTACATTATAATTCCTTTACAATTTCCCCGAGTCATAGGCAGAATAAAAAATATATAAGCCATCAATGCTTCCATAATAATTTACTACACTATTGCATACCTTGAAGGAACAGAATTTATCTTCTTAAAAGTGAAGTAAGCTTTAAAACATGAAAACTCGATTACAGAATTAGAGAAGTATGTTGTTACTAAAAATACTTCTTAGAATTCCTTTCTGAGTGCATCATCAATGATTACTATGCTTCAGAATCACTCTAACCACTTACAAAAACTACAAATAAGACAGCAGTGGAGGAAAGGTTTCCAACTTGACAAAAGCTGAGTGAAATTACATCTTATCTGAAACACTGTATAGGGCTGGCATTGACCACATGGTATGAATTCACCTCTTCTAACAGGAATACCATTCAAACTTTGTAAGAACTTAACCACTGATGTCAATCTGCAGATCACTGGTGTTTTGTGCTAGGTCAGCGTAATCCATAGAAAATTTTAAAAAGAAAAAAAACGAAAGAAGGTTAAAGTTTCTAACTTAAATACTATAAGCAGTCTCTTGGGATAAAAAAACCTCCAAGGAATCTACAGGGTACAGTATGAGGAGGAATAACACAAATTGATATTCTTTAATCACTAAAGAAACTATTCAAATCCAGGATCAATATGACCATATTACAAACAAAATTTTAAAAGGTGTTTAACAAATTAATTAAGAGCCACGTCTGCATATATATTTTTTGTTTGTTTTGGTTTTGTTTTACTACACCGAAAGCAAGCGCTCTGCGGCACATTCTCTGCCCCCAAATGATCAAGTTCAGGCTTATCCCAGCCTTCATTGAAACTCAGGTTCCTGTGGTAAAGAGGTGATTAATTCCCAGAGTCCAGCCTGTTGGTACAGGTCCTGGAGTTACCGCATTTTAGAGGAAGTATTTTGCAACAGGTGTTACGGGAGAGAGAGCATAGGCAAGAATGTCTCTCTCTTGGGAAACCAAGATCTGAATATGACAGCTCCAGCCTCTCTAGCTGGAGCCTTCCTCTGCAGCACACGGCAAAGGTGTGATTCCACGCTTGTTTCTGTGGCCTTTCGGTTCATATCTTCCTCCTTAGCCAACACGTAAGCACTGTGAAAGCGGGAGCTATTTCCACTTTTGCTCATGTCCACAGCCGGTGTGCCCAGTGCCCTACCGAGGAGTACATTCTTAAGAGATTTGCAAATCACTTAAACCACACTTTCCACAGGACTGAAGGGAAAAAAGGAAAGCCTGATATTTCTTTTTTCTTTTTCTTTTTTTTATGGGGATCGAACTCACGACTGCCTGCTTGCAAGGCAGGCGCTTATGCCGCTGAGCTAAATCCCCAGCCCCTTAGCCTGATTGATATTTCACTACATCTACTTTTTCATAAAGTTTTGACATTGCAACTTCTAATTGTCTCACAATTCCAACAATAAATTAAGTCAAAGGTTAAGAAATACAAATTAAGATAGCAAGATATGATTACATGCTCACTGGAATGGCTAAAACTAAAAACACTGATAACACCAAGTGCTGGTGAGATGGCAAAGCAATGAACACTTACAAATTGTTGGTAAAAATGTAAAGTAGCACAACAATTTTGGAAAACAGTTTGGGAGTTTATTCCTGTAAAATTAAACATACATTAATTATGGAACCTGCCAATCCCACTCCCAAACATTTCCTCAAGAAAAATCAAGTCATACACAAACTCATACAAGAATATTCCAACTGGCTTCATTCATAAGATCCAAAAACTGGAAAGAATCCAGAGCCCAACAGGTTCCTGGATAAACCCACTGTGGTATGTCCATAAAGTAGAATACTACTCAGCAATAAAAGGAATAAATACTGGTTCACAAAGTGATATTTTTTGTGGCTATGGTCACACACAGCTGCAATCCCAGCACTGGGAAGCGGGGTGAGGCAGGAGGATCCCTGCAAATTCAAGGCCAGCCTGAACTACATGAAACCTGTCTGCATGCCTTCCCTCCAGTAACATCTTTGCTTCTCAAAAACAATGTGCTGAGACAGCAAACTTAGACACAAAAGTCTCTTTTTCTATGATTTTGTTCATATGAAATTCTAGATAGGTAAAATCAATCTACAAAGAAGTTATATTTGTAGTTGCCTGAGGGCTTAGGTGGAGACCGAGGAGAATTGTTAAACACAGGCTCCAGGAAACTTTTTGTGATGAAAATGTCCTGCATCCTGACTAGAGTAGTTTTTACAGGAACCAACACAATCATCAAAATAGGTTCTATGAGTATACTTAATTATGTATAAATTATATATCCATGAAGTTGATTTCACAAAAAAACACATACATTTAAAATTTTAAAAAAGCACAGACCCTAACCAGGGATGTAAAGTGGCAATATTACCTGAAGTGAAAAAAAATTCTTTTATACAGCGTTTGCACATATTTAAAGGCTAAAGAGAACGTGTACAATGACCATAAAAGCCTAAAAGGGTCAAATGTGGGATGATTTAGACATCAGAACAATGACACAGAACAATGATCCTGAAACACTAACTAAATAAAAGCCTGTAAGTCCACAGTGATGGTCACAAAGAGGGATTTGTTGGCCTCCATTAGAGGTAATCACCGTGCTAATCTTTTTCTATAAAAACGTCTCATTACAATTACTTTTTAGGAACTATTGGCTAGTAAGAGAAAAGTTACCATTTATAATCTCCACTGAAATAATTCAGGCAAGCATCACCAGTGGGCGCATACATGGTATGAGAGTCTCCCCAACATGTGAGGTCTCCCCAAGCGCACCTTCTGGTGGGGAGATCTCACATCACTACCTCAGGCCAATGATAGTAACTGGGGACAAGCTGGTGGGAGTTTACCAGTACCCAGAATTGCCTGGCAACTACTGAAACAAGCTTGATCCTGAACAAGTATTTGGATCTGACTTTCTGAAGACACAGGGGCAAGCGGAACAATACCACAAGAAAATAATCACCCAAATTCAGGATGTAGGGAAACCCTACATTACGGATGCATGTATCATACTGGGGACTGAATCTAGGATCTTCTTGCCAGGATCTGTATCCCTGGCCCTTTCTTGCTTTTTTATTGTGGGGCAGGGTCTCACTTAAGTTGCTCAGGCTGGGCTCAAACTTGTGATTATTCTGCCTCAACCTCCCAGAGTGCTGGGATTATAGGCATGCTCCACCATATCAGCTTCAGAAAAAAAATTTTTTTCCTAATTAATGTAATGAGAGGAATGGGAAGAGTATACCAGACTAAAAAGAATGAAGAGGAATAAAAATATAGCATTTATTGTGCCTTACCTTCTTTGGATCTTGTTTTAAAATGAAAATAGAAAGTTATTAAAGACTGTGAGGAACATCTGTAGAAATCTGAATATAAACTACATAGATGCGTTATGGAATTATTTCAACTCTTCCTGGGTATAAGAGTTGTATCATGGTCATGCAGAAGAATGTCTTTATGGCTGAGATTTATGCTGAATTTTTAAGGGTAAAGTGTCATTTTTATAGCCTTTCTGTATGTCTGACTTTTTCCATAATTAAAAAAAAAATGAGAAAGGAAAGAAAGCAGAAGTACATAACCACTCTGTAAAACTTTATCCTAGGGGCTGGGGATTTAGCTCAGCGGCATAAGCGCCTGCCTTACAAGCAGGAAGTCATGAGTTCGATCCCCGGTACCCATAAAAAGGAAAAAGACAAAAAAAAAAAAACTTTATCCTAGACAGAGCCAGCACCCTGTTATTCCATGCATCCTCACAGGTGTTGACAGAATGGATTGTCCTCACCACACCACCATCCCATTCCAACTGCTGAAGTCCTAACCCCCGGATTTCAGAAGATGACCATAGTAACTGATTTAGAAATAGTGTCTTATAGAGGTAATTAGGTTAAAATGAGGCCATTGGTGAAGATCTTGATCCAATATGATCTTGTCCTTCTAAGAAGAGGTCATTTGGATACAGAGGGAAGACCATGTGCAGACATTGTGAGACAGCAGTCAAGGAGAAGGGTCTGGACGAAACCAGCCTTGCTGACACCTTGATCTCAGACTTCCGGTCTTCTGGATTGTGTATAAGTAAATTCTGTTGTTGAAATCACCAGCCTGTGGTACACTGCTACAGTGGCCCCATCAACTAATATAACTGAAATGATTTCCAGGAGGAAGAGGAAGAGTCGTCCCCAAACACAGATGGAGGAATAAGCCGCTGCTCCCTGGTGCACATTATCCGCTCACTGATAAGGAAAATCAAGAGCCCCAGGATATCACGCATGCGTGCAGAGTCTGGGAGCTGAGCAAGCTACCCGGAATGACTTCCCGTTTGCAGCATCAGCTGGGAATACCCAGACTTGCTGGAATTGCTGGCTCTCTCTCTCATGCACCCACAGGACCGACTCTCTCAGAGGCAGACATGTCTGGGGACATCCCTTTCAGCCTTGGCAGTATCCTGGGAGAGACACTTAAAACACACAAATCTGTCTGCTGCATGTGATCAGATTTTGGATTTTTTTTGTATCTGAGCTGAAAGGTTGCAAATATATTAAAGTCATTTCTCCTTAAAAAGAAATATGCTCATGCTTACCATCACGAGAGGGGACACTTTAAATAGGTCTTTAATACTTTTTCTACTTTTTCAGCATGGAAAAAAAATGGAAATAAAACTGGTAAGAAAGGCAAAGAAAGTGAGATCTCATCAGATGTCTTCCCTCAAATTACTTGAATCACATCCTGTTAAGGGAACAGTGAGTCAGTTCCACAGACTCTGTTGTGAGTGCTGGAAAGGGTCTCAGAGAGCTCCCAGTGGGTTCTCCTCACTTGACCTTCAAGTGAACCAACCTTAGCTGGAAAGAGCTTATCCAGAGCTCGTGGCTGTTGGTCTGACTCAAAAGCCAAGAATGACTCTTCCAGAGTGCGATAAGCCACACGGTACAATACTGAGTTTCAGTACAAAAGGGGAATCCCCACAAACAAGCTTAATTCAAATATGGAAGAAACTTTCCCACATTGCTGACTTTATCCTCTGCAGATGACGAAGGGCATCTTTTTGCAGTCTCGTCCCTGTGATGGTCCTATTTTCTTGGCACATCAAGCCTGTGATGGCTTGGATCTTAAATGTCCCCCAAAGCCCATGTGTCAAAGGCTTGGTCCCCAGAGCAGAATTCTTTCAAGGTTGGGGCGGGGTGGATCTAAAGATCATTGGGAACGTGGGACTCCAGAAAGGGGTTGTGGGATCCTGCCCCCTTCCTCTCTCTCCCAATTTCACTTTCTGGCCATAAGTAAAGTATCTGGATCTGCCAGGTGCTCCAGCCATGATGCGCTGCCTCGCCACAGCCCCAGAGCAACAGAGCTAACTGACCATGGACTGAATGCTCCAAAACTCTGAGCCAAGATGAACTTTTCCTCTTTGTAGGGTGATTACAGTGATGGAAAACTTACTCATAAGACTCAACTCTTTACCATGTTAAAGTCAAAAAGCAGCCAATTTTCCAGGACAAAATTCAGGTGGAGCTCTGTGGTGACAGTGCCCACCAGGGGACTCACAAGTTTGTCCTCCTGCTGTGGCCACAGCAAGAGGGTGATTTGAATTATTCTTATGAGTCCTACCCCACGAACAGGTAATCACCTGCTCCGCACTAGGTGTGCTAAAGCTACACACCAGGATGTTACCCCTCCCTACAAAAAGTGGTGTTCATGGCATCATCAACCTCTGGGACCTTAGCCAGTGCCCTGGTCACATTCTGAGTGGACGCTGCAATGCTTGTCCATGAGAACTCAGAGTTAAACTAACTCTGATATGCCCAGAGCTCTACAATCAATCTCAATGCCAAAGGAAGGAAGCCTCCTTCAAAGACAGTCATTGCTAACTGATGTGCCACTATCAGAAACCACTGATGAATAACAGTAATCATTCTCTACTGTGGGCTATATGCTCCCAGGATTCCTGAGGTGATTCATGGAAAGATTATGCCTAAACCTTCCAAAGACTACAATCGCATAGACAATTGCTTTTAATTTCACAAAGTGTTTCCAACAACATCTTGGGACATGACCATTACAGCCATCTCCACCTCTGTCCATGCTGTGGAAGCATGTGGCCAAGTTCAGTGGCCCAGCTCTTGAGTTCAGGAAAGACCTTGAGAGGTATACATGAGTGAATACAATGCCAGCACTGGCCAGCCCTGTACTGTCCCTCTCCACTCTCCCCAAAGTTCTGCCTGTTCCCTCTGCAGCCCACACAGCCCTTGACAATCGGTCAGTCTGTCTAGCTTGAGTTCACCATGGTCAAATCACCACCCATCACCTTGCCCAGCAGACCCCATGGGCAAATCCTTTTGCTCCCCCGATTCTGCCCTCCTGTACTCCCACTCCCCTCTCCTCTAGGCAGACTCCACTGCTCTTCCTCATCTGCGCTCCCTCCCACCTCCCAACAACCATGAGAGCCTATGGCATCCATCTCCGTGATGGAAGGTCTGATGTTACCTGCCCCTTCCTACTGCTGCCAGTCCAGTCAGCAGGACTCTAACTCCTCACCTACCTCTGCTTCCTGATGGCCCAACCATCACTCCCACCACCTTCCGCTCCCTGCCATGATTCAAGCCTTCCACAGGTCTGCACTATAGACAGCTCCTAACTCTTAGACCTGGAGGTCAAGCCCTTCACCACAAAGCCGCTCCCATCTTTGTGATCTTATCGAATGCCAGCCACTTCCCCAGCTCTCCACGTTCTACATTCCACCAGGTTCCTCTCCAAACACATCTGAGTCCATCAGCATCTGCTCAAGCCACTATCCTGACACAAATGTCCTTCAGGGTGGACCAGGAGACAAGTGGACTTTGCCTGTGAAGGATCTTGGTTCAGATTCTGCTCTGTGCTTCCTGGCTCTGACCTGAGACATGTGACCTCTCTGTCTCTCTCTGTCTCTGTCTCTGTCTCTCTCTCTCTCTCTCTCTCTCTCTCTCTCTGAGCATCCATTTCCTCATGTATAAAAGGGAACCAGTAATCACCCACTTTGAAGAGCATTTGGAGCAGTAAAGTCCATGAGAAACACCGAACAGAAGGGCTGGGGTCCTACACCAAGAAAACGTGGGCAGACTCTTGGAGGTCACCTTGATCAAAAACCAATAAGGGACAGTGGAGAGACTCATGCCCAGGAGGGAGGGTGCCCCACTGAGCCCAGAGTAGGGGAAGCAGGGGGCACACTGTCTAGCAGCCCCTGTCCAACACCCTTGCCCCAAAACTCTATTGCTTGGAACAGTTTTGTATTTTTTTCTTTCTTTGTCTTTTTTAGCTACAGTCAGTACCATCTGTGAGTTACACTGCAGAGCCCAGGCTCTCAATAATTTGAGTTAGACCTCAGGGATCCTGAACTAAACATATGTCCCACAAAAACAGAAAGTCATTCATATGCTTTCACCTACTAACTGTAAAAAGAGGCTTTTCATCAGAGTCCCAGAACACAGAAATGTCAGGTTCTTTCCATGACATGTGACATGGCAACGGTGTCTCCCAACACATCGGGCTTCTCCAAACAGCCATGGGGAGCAACACACTGGAGAGTAAATGCAATGGGTGATTTTTAAATAGAACTCTGCCATGAGTGTGCTAATTTCCTAGGGCTTCCATAACAGATAGCTACAAAGAGGTTTTCCTCTTGTAGGCTGGAAACCTGAAACCAAGAAGCTGACAGGCTCTCACACCTCTTCCCAGCTCCACGCAGCTCCCCACAGTCTGTGGCATGCCTCAGTTGTGGCTGTGTCACTCACATCTCTGCCTCCACAGTCATGTGGCTTTCTGCCTGGGTCTGGGTCTGTTTCTGCTCCAGTCACTGGATTCAGGGCCTCGTTCAATGTCACACAACTTCATCTAAACTACTGCTATCTGCAAAAATGCTACTTGGAAATAAGGGTGCATTCTAAGCCTCTAGTTGGATATGAATTGGGGATGAGGAGGAGTTCTTCGGGTGAATACAATGATGACTGAAGAAAATCAGAGAAATTTCTATAATCATTAGACCCTCAAGAGCCTCAAAGGTCGTCTTCTGCAGTTATTAAACAAATGTCTTCTCCGACACCAAAAACCACCAGCAATGGAGGTGAGGGACACAGAACATGGACTTGGGATGAATTCTACCTCTCCACTTCAACAAACTCACCTGGCAGAAGAGGAAATCCCTGAAAAATGTTCAAGCTGTATCTCTAGCTTAGGGAAGACTCAGGACTGGACCTCAGGTCTCCCCGTCCAAACCTGACACCCAGTTCTGCCACGGACACAAGATGCTCAATTTCCTGACCTGCTGCTGACTGTGGGCAGACACGAAAAACAGCTGAGGTTTTTCATACACACAATGTGGTTTCACCAAGTGGAAAACCATTAGCTCCATGCCTACCATCACACCAGAAGCGAGCCCTAGTAACACACCTAGTCTAGCTGCAAAAGACCACAGGAAGAAACACCCAGGAACAGAGACCAAGATAAACCCAGGCTACGGATCCACTGAAAAGGACCCAGCCCAACCTGGGTGGGGGTGCAACAAAAAACTTCTGGGAAGAAATTGCTGCTGTCAATGTTTAAAGGAACGGAGATGAACACGGTCATGACTACCATTTCCTGAATTATAGCCAAGGTAACACGCCAGTGGTAATATATACATAGCTTCAGGTTCCATGGGGAAACAACCCTGCAATGAATTCCTTTTAGAAACTGGTACCCGAGTCTCTCCTGAGCTGGGATTTTACCAGGGAAGTAGAATCATATAATCTGCTGAGTTTCCATTTTTGCCTTGGCTGCCAGAGTACTCAATTTCAAAAAAGTAGATTAAGTCTAAGAAGTTGAAATATTTGCTTTCCCCTCTCTACACAGGTTTTATCTACTTTCAATTTTTACTTTAACAGTCTGATTACAATATGTAAGTCTTATGATAAGCCTTACTAAAAGGAGATGGGCCATACATTACAAGCACATTCATAAGGAATACTGGTCAATGTCTACATACAAGGCCCTGGAAGTCTAAAAGCTTTAACTGTATCATCCTAAACTTTAGTTACATTGTTCATGGTTTTTTTTCAAAAGCTCAAATCTATCGACTTTTGAGAAAAAAATGGGGGGGAGACACTAATTAATTACTAGTAAAACTGAGTCCCAAGGCAGGGAAGAAATTTCTCTCTGGAAGACAAAGCTGGGTGGGTGTATGGGGGAGTAACATTTTCACTGGATCTTAAATTCAGCTCTAAGAGATAGGAGAAAGCTAACAAGAGTAGAATGCTTATTCAGTGAACAATCCAACTTTACTCATGGAAAGAGGAAGGGAAGAAAAGGCTGAGACTCTCAGAGGTTTTAACATCCAGCAGCTGAAAATCAGAGCCTCGTTTTCTGTCCTCCACTCATCAGGTTCCCTGTTAGGCTCCAGGTGCAAAGGACTCACCCCTGGCACCCACAGAGCAGGGAAGCACGGGCGAAGGCTTTCATTCTAGACCGATTCTTAGAAGATTTAAGTGTCTGAAGGGAAATAACCACGAACTGTATTCTAATTGTTTCTGGTGAATGTAACACTTGCTAAATGCCACTGGAGATAAAATATAAGGTAAGATATCTCCTGTGACATCAGGAGATACATCACCTGCTCTGGATAATACGCACAGCCTCCCACCCCACAGGACTGACCTCCTCCATCACAGAA